TTTGGGGTTAGGGGTTGGGGTTTAGGGTTTAGGCGTTAGGGGTTAGGGTTTGGGGTTTAGGTTTTAGGGTCTCCGCGTGCCTATGTAGTACATTTGTTCGGCCTCAAGGGCCCAAAGGTACCTAATTATGTGGAAGCCCCTTTTAAGGTCTAGGTATGTAACCCTAAACCGCAAACCCTAAACCCTATGTGCTATACAGGTAAATGGAGCCTTAGAGTGAGGGGCCGTGAGTGGTCTGCTTTGCAGCTGGGGGTTTGCAGGCTTGTCTAGGAGCGGTATTAAGGTTTAGCCCCACGTTTTAAGGCGCAAGGTCTTGGGCTTCTAGTGTTGATATTTGCTCAGACTCCCTTCGCCACAGTATTATCTACCCCAAAAGCCCGTTTCTATCTGTTCAGGGCCTTGTGTCTCAAGTTGTAAGCTGCCTATACAGCCTTCACCTCAAAAGGCTCTATAAGGCCCTTATCATCTGTCATCATTATCCCAAAATTCTTAAACTTAAACCCCTAGAGCTACGTCCTACGCTGTTAGCTCGAAATCTAATCCGGCCCGAAATTCAGTGTGTCGCCGAGTCGGAGGGTGTCCCAGCAAGGTCATCGGAAAGGAGGGTTTCGGGGTTTAGGGTTCAGGGATTTAGTCTTTCAGCGGCTTTTCGGGTATGCCAACCTCCTAGCTTTTAGGGCTTTAGGTTTGGGGTCTCAGACTCTAAAGAGTATGGTGCTGCTTCTAAGTCCAGAGCCATCGCAAAGCTGAAAGCAACGAAGTCACAGGCCGATATCGGCGGTGCGGGCTCAGCGCGGCTGGTGCTGAAAAGGCGGGGGTTGCGGTAGGTTCCTGGCTGGCATCCTTATGATCAGGAACCTGTCTTTGCTGATCTCGTGGGGTTTCCTTCTGTAGCCACTTGCATGTCCGGTTTGTTTTGGACGTAACTAGTTCTGGCACCCTGCAACGTATTTGCAACACGAAGCTTGTCCATGTGAGACCCTTATTGAATATTCCCTCCCCTTGTTTAAGGACCTGAAGACATACTACGATACCCGATACCCCCTAAACCCTAAACCCTAAACCCATTAGAACCTCTTTGAGGGAGGAAGGTTTGTCAATCTGAAGTCTACAAGACTTACAGCCCGGGTTTAGGGTTTAGGGTTTAGGGTTCGGAACTTCCTGGCATCGGCTGTGTGGTGGGTTCCGGTTCAGTGTTCAGGGCGAGTTTCGCCAGGCGTTTAAAGCTTATAAGGAGTTGAAAGGGCATTATAGGCTTTCCTGTCTGGGGGTTCAGGGTTTTCGGCTTCGAAACTTGTTTGGGCTTACGGGCAGAAATGCTAGAGTTCGTTAGGTCAGCTTTCCTGGTTCAATGTTCCGTGGTCTTGGCCGTGAATCCTGATATCCAGATTCGCTGACCACCATGCAGGCCCCATGTTCTCATTTCCGATTGACAGGCCCCTGTAGGTTCAATATCCCAATAAAGGGTCGGTAGGTAGTCATTGTATAGGCCCCCAGAGACTAGCCTACAGTACTGCAAACCCAACCTCAAGCGCCTAGTTCAAGGACCCCGGGGTTCTAGGGTTAGGTCCTTGCTAAAAGTGCTCGAAGAGGACTTGCAGCTTGTTCTGCAGGAGGGACGAGATGCTTAGGGCTTGTGCACATTAACCCTAAACCCGAAACCCTAAATCCGAAACCCTAAACCCTAAACGCTAAACCCTAAACCCCTAAACCCTAAACCCCCAAAACCCCCAAAGACTTCGGGCTTAAAGGCTTCTGAGAATCCCTTGTAGCGTCCCTCATCCTACGCTCGTACAAGTTGCGTGTTCATCATCGTCATATTTGGCTTTAACATAGGGCTCTGAACTGCTCTGAAGCATTAGTAATGATGTCCCCGTATAGTCCATCTATACTTTCACTTGAACATACCCAAAGGCTTTTCTCGAGTTACATAGTGCCTTGTATTACCCTGATTTTGTTGGGCCTGGGGAACTTGAAAGTGCTCCACCCCAAGACCCCAAAACTCAACACTAAACAGTTGTGGAGTAATATAGGGGCCTAAATAATTACCAATACTATTGGGGGTTCCTTGTCATAATGATTCCATAATGCAACCCTGATGTTAAGGCCCCTACTTGGAGGTTCATGGGTAGTTATAAATGAGGCTATAAGTAGGGTAACTATAAGTATAACCCATGTTAGGGGACTTATAACCATACTTATAACTACCCATGAACCTCCAAGTAGAACAGTTGTTGAGAGACTCTAAACCCTGAACTTCCAAGAAACCCCTGTATTTATTGGGATTGATATATTGTTATTATTTAATTAATTATCCCAAACATCATTGCTATTAAAGAATCGACAGGAATCTGGACAAGTCCAGAGGTTTGGAGTGTAGGGGTTGAGGCTCCATGCCTATATCTCTATAGTCTATACTTAGGCCTTACAGCTCCCATGTGGGACCCCTCTAAGGCCTAAGTAGATCTCTATGTGTGTATATATATATATATATATGTGTATATATATATATATTTATCTATTTATGTACTTGTTTTTATATAATCATAGGTACATAAGGAAACCCGAAGACCAAGCCAGTTCAGGGCACGCCTGCGCCAAAATCCGTTATCTCTCTCTTTATCAATGGAGACCTTGTTCCTTGGTCTGAACTGGAGTTTAGGGGTTAGCGGTTTAGGGAGAGACTTGGCCAGAACCGTAGGATCATGCCTTTTGGGGTTCCGTGGGTTTGGTATTTTGTTGTACGGTAGGGTAGGGTCTAAACTGTTAAGTTCCAGCAGGGGTTTTGAACAGTGAGGGTTTTGAAGTGGCGGGGACAGAAACGGGGACGTGTAGGGTTTGGGGTTACTTGGTGGCTCAGAGGTTTTGGGTTTAGGGCTAGGGGCTGGGCTATGCGTTCAGGGCATAGTAAGTAGGTTAGAAGAACCATGAACTACTAAACCTTTGATTGTGTAGGATCCCGATAAATTCTACATAAGGGTTTGTTAAGTAATCAGAACCTACAGACAAGTAGGTTGCCGCAGTTTAAGGTAGTGCTACAGGTCGAGAGGGACTGTGCAGTAAGGTTGCTTATGGGCTCACGAGACGGATCCTGAATAGAGGGTATTCAAGGTATTTTAGAGAGTAGTTGGGGGGTTTAGGTAGGGCTTAGGGCTTTAGGGTGCAGGGTATGGGTTGAGGATTCAGGGATTGGTGGGCATGTTGCAGGTAGCGTTAGAACTGGGTGGGCCACTGTCGCGCATCTAAACGTAACGCGAAGTTATAAACGACCCAGTACGTCCAACCAGCCTCAAGGTGTGATAAGCCGTAGATTGGGGGTTAAAACTTAAGAGAACTAATTGTGGGTTTAGGGTTTATAGGGTTTACGGGTACCTACTTGTGGTAGAAAAGAAGTCCACATATGGAACTCCAGACGGTGCAATCCTCAATTTAAGAACCCTTCTCGCATTTGTGGAAGGTGAGGGAAATCCAATTCACCAATCATAAGCACTATGTTCAATCCCAAAGCCCCCAAGTTCTGTAGCAACCCTTTACCCTAGACCCTAAACCTAAACCCTAAAACCCGAAGCCCTAAACCCCTAAACCCCTAAACCCTAAAACTCTACACCCTGCAAGTGCCCCAAACGACCTCTCAGGTCAGGGGTTTACTTTGCGGCTCTTGGGCACGGGCTTTGTTATAAGTTTTGTTAGAAGTTAGAAGGATCTCGAAGACATAGAATACCTGAACCTACCAAAACCTACTTTTTTGTAGAGTCCCTATAAATTCCAGACTAATAAGAACCGACAAAAAAGTAGGGTTTTTTTGGTAGAATAAGGTAATCTGCTTTCCAGCAGGGACAGAGGCGACAAGCCATACCATCCTGAAGCGGGTTTAGGGTGTAGGGTTTAGGGTTCGTAGCCCTACAAAGCCAAGTCCGCTTAAAGAAGCACCCCAACTCGTTTTTGGACACTGGGGAAGCCCTAAGCCTGCGGTTTAGGGTTAGGGGTTTACGTTCTCCGGTACTATGTACCCTCGTGCCTGTTTTGCTTCTTTCTCTTTCTTGGGTGTATGTGTGCGTGCGTGTGTGTGTGTGTGTGTGTGTATGTGCAGGGTGGTGCTCAGAATAATCGAAATTTGAATGGAGGTTTCCGTCTTATCTATAGGACGCTATGATAAATCTTCAACCTCCAAAGCCGTTTTCATCCCGTGTGAAACCTACAAGCAAAGCTCTTGTAAGACCCTTCTTGCACCCTTGGGGGTAGGCTCTAAACTCTCAACTTTTCATCCTCAAACCATCAAACCAAGACCCTCCAAAAGGCCTATATCCCCCTGAATCCCTAGAAGCCCGCTGGGTTGCTACAATCAAAGGGGGTTTAGGGTTTAGGGTTTAGGGTTTAGGGTTTAGGGTTTAGGGAAAGGGGCCTTAAACATTTAGAGTAGGGTTTTAAGCTATTTGTATGTCGGGAACAAAGCCATCCGGAGCCCTGTCAAAAACAATTCTGCAGAACCCCAAGCATGGCACCAAAACTACCACGGAGGCCCTAAACCCTAAACCCGATGGGCCCCCAGGCAAAGAGGGCAACAAAAAAGCAAGAAACCCTCGGCCCTACGCCCCGAAACCTCAGCCCCCTAAGCCCATCCGTACGCCAAGTCCCAAACCCTAAAAAATTTAGGGTTTTGGGTTTAAGGTTTAGGGTTTGGGGTTTAGGGTCTAAACCCGAAACCGGAAAAAAACAAAAGCCGAAGCCGTAAACCCAGGCATTTGAGTTCAGCCTGGATGGTCAGTTGCCGGCGTGCAAGCCGTTATATGCTTCTTGGAGACCTGCTACGCTTCAGGGTTAGGGCTTGGGGTTTAGGGTTTTCGGTTTAAGGTGTAGGGTTTTCGTTATAGACCCTAAACCCTAAACCCTAAACCATAGGGTTCAGAGATGTTTAGTGCTTAGGAAAGTTCCGGGTGTCGAGTTTCGGTTCGAAGTCGACTGGCTAGGTAGCATCATAGTCCCTGTGCTATTTTGTAGGGTTTGGGGTCATATAAATCCTACCTGGGGATCCAAAATCCTACCGGTTTTCTGGGTTCTAATGTAGGGACCTAAATAGTTACCAATCCTATTTTGAGGGTTCCTAGTTATAACTATAGTATAATGGGCCCCAAGACCCTATTCTGATTATTAAGACCCCTATATTGCCCTCCCATTACGGCGTCATAACCCGCAGTTTTGTAGGGTTTGGTGTCATATAAATGCAACATGCAAGAAACCCCGGCAGAACGTCTCAATTTCTCTAGAGCCCCTATTCCTCCCGATTGAGCTGCTGCAAACAGTCCTATCAAGCATCCTCTTGTGGGACCCAGGCTGTAGTGGATGTATGCCATGCCGTCTATCAGGCGGGGTTTAGGGGTTTAGGATTTAGGGTTGGTTTGGGGCTCAATATTTAGATTTGTCTAGATTTGAACGTAAAGGTCTGGGGATGTATGTGTCTCTGTGTGTGCATGTGTGTTTGTGCACATGGATAACCCGGCAGACCCACCGTGGCCAAGGTACAAACTGTGAAAACCTTGAATGCCTAAACCCCAAAACCCGAACCCTAAACCCTAAAACCCTGACCCCTAAACCCCTAAACCCTAAAACCCTGACCCCTAGACCCCTAAACCCTAAACCCTAAACCCTAAACCCCTAAGCCCTAAAAGCGAAACATGAACCTGAAGCCCGAAGCTCGTAGCCGAAAGTCAAGACCTGAACCCTTGACCGAAGTGTTCTCCGTTCTTAGGGTTTAGGGTTTAGGGTTTAGGGTTTAGGGTTTAGGGTTTAGGGTTGATCTCTCTACTACTTTAG